GTGAACATCACCTTGATTGTAGAAATAAGCCGTTCTTTCTTTAAACTGAGAATAATGCTCGACTTGAATTTCGAGAGGGAAAGGGCTTTCGCCATTTTCAAACCATGATTCATTTGGCCTCATAATGGTTGCTCCTCCAGTTGCAAAATTTGCTCCATGCTGATAACTAGTTCCTATTGAATCCAAGTAGGAGCTCAAATATGGCAGCCCCAAGTAATCGGCTACACGAAATAGAAAAATTGCACGTCACAAACAGCCTGGCGATGGATTTACATCTACCAACAAATCCACAAGAGAATGATACTACATGAATGACGTGTTTGTTAAGGAAAATTAAATAGTACTGAAATTATTAGATAAAGTGTGTTGTTGTTCGAAGTTAGGTAGTAAACTTGCACATAAAGGTCTTTTTTGGAAATGGATCATGAAGTATATATCTTTTACGTATGAAGTCAATGATCAGGCGCCCGTCGGAGCCCCTTCCGGCTGGCCTATGGAAGTACGTCTCACCGCAGGGTGCTGCCATCGGATAAAATGCCGCTGCTATTCCGCCTGTGTCCGAATTCGAATCACCAAAGTTATATATTGCAGGGTAGTTGCAGGTTGGCAAATCTGTCATCTTCTCTGCAGCTTTCACAGTGCACACAGATGAGACCAATGTCCCAAAAAATAAAATAGTTGAGAATTCCATCTCAAATCTTTCACAACGAGGTCTCTAGTTTGTTTCGCCTTATGAATGTGGTCTTGCTTTGTAGTCTCAAGGATAAGTCGATTGGACCCTAAGTGTGTCGACTTGTCCACCGGACGAGAGTTGTTCGAGGTCGGTCGATGGCTTCTAGCAGTCGATCCTCGATGTTGCTACAATTTTTTGTGATTTCTGAATTGGATTTAAGTGCATGAATTCCGCCTTGTCTGGTGGAGCTTTGTTCTTTTATAATTATTTATATCATTGAAATATAAAATAGATAAAGCATTCCATTAATTACAGGAAAAACACATGCTAAGAAAGCTGTGTCACGACTCAAGACATGCGGAAAAAGTACTTATTTTCAAGATTTCTTAACTCATCACGCAAAAAGCGCAAAATGTTGGATTAAAGAAAAATAAAGTAAAGATGACATTCAAATGATGATTACATCTTGAATCATTGCTATTGAATATGGAGAACTTTTAAGCATATTTTGAGACAAAAATATTATATAAATTATGAAGGTTTAAAGGGTAACTCAACTTCGAGCGGAATTGTATCTAGATCACACATCTTTAATTTGATGCAATCAAGTCATCCAACTTCCATTTTCATGTACATTTAGTCGTTTCTCGTCAATTTGTTATAATCAAGTCATCCAACTTCGATTTTCTTGCAAACCTGGTCAGTTTGTCCACTACTGTCAATCTAATTAACTTAATATGATGACGTGGATGTTAAAAATAATGGATAGTTGACATGTAAAATTTTGCTTTTAGTGCATACATTTGTATTTTAAAAGAAGTGCTTTTTTATTAAGCCCTTGTTTGAGCTCCATTCTTTTCATAAGAAAAGAATTTTTGAATAGTGTATTGATGAGAAATGTGTGATTAAAAAATAAGAAAAAGTTTTTGATTTTCGTGTAATATTATTTTATTGAAAAATGTGTAGTTGAAATAATATTAAAACACTGTTCAAGAATCCACTCAAAGTAGGTGACCCGCAATCCATTTTTTAATCCATTATATAAATTATTATAATTGTCTAGGTGCATATATATATATGGAGTTAGTTCAATATAATATAACGGTAGGTAACAACTTTTGAATTCCAATCACGTAATCATCTATTTATGAAAAATGAATTTTGTTCCCACATACATGAAATTTTACTAGTTATTCTACCATGTTGCGACGTCGTTTTTTTATTTTTTTAGTAGATTATGATTAAGCAGTTCTTGTACCATTTAGATATTATCAACTTCTGGTCATTCTGCTTATTGGAAAATCTTGGCAGTTTAATTTTGACGAACAAAGACGTACTATTTAATTCTTTTTGGGAAGTGTTATATGTACATAATTGTCTACATAATAGTGTTCATAATTACATGTGGCACTGGATCCAACATTTAATTCAAATCTTACACTTTCATATCAACAATCGGATGATTGTCACATCATATTATGGACAACATAATGTGTAATAATTATGTACGTGTATAGACTTTTCCATTCTTCTTTGCTGCTGTGACATGCTCATGAACGCGAGATTTGACATGACCAAGAATTCTTCTCTACTAAGAAACTAAAATCTTGTACACCATGTGATGCTCTATATGGCATCCCAACATAGCAAAAGAATCCATCGAGTAATAGACGGAGTATACTTCCCCACCTTGGCATTGGCATGACAAAACATTGAGGCAAAATGTCTGAGCTCAAGCCACGAAAATGTTGAGCTAAAGGATATTGCTGGAACGGTTGAGTTCTCAGAATTTTAATTAATTGAAAATAATTGTGTAATTATCAATTTATTGGTGAATTATGTGACATTTTGACGTGACTTTTATATATAGGAACAAAAAATGTCAAGAAAATTAAAAGATGAACATGTGTGCCACAAAACGATCTAAATAACGACAAAAGTGCCCATTTATGTATAGAACGGAAATGTAATTTGTAAGTTAAATTGTATATTACATTTTTCGGTACAGTAGATTCTCATTCTTCAAAGATGTATGAGTAAATTTGCCAAAAGGTTATGTAACTTTGAGGAAATTTGGAGTGTTTAGGATTCAATATTCTCTAGTCAAGTCCTGTTGGATTATCATCATATGTGGCTAAGTTCCTCCTCATGCTGCAAGGTTTTATAGAAGATTAATCCATCTCCTTTAAGAATTTCATATTGGGAATGGCACAATGGCTCATCAATGCTATATGATTGATTATTGTTCAATATTATTTAATCCTCCTCATCAAACATACTATAATTGCACTATCATCTACACTCCTACATGGCTTTTTTGTTTTTGTTCCTTTTTCGGTGCAAATATTGATTTAGATAGCTGTTAATTAGGCTATCACGAGTGTTAATGTCTTAGATATCGGAAAATTAGTTGCAGATATTATTGCAGGATAATCGAAAGTAGAGAATTAGAAAACTTATCAAACGATTGAAACCAATGACAGCATGACGTCCTAAAATGAAATTGCATGTTGTTTGTAATTGTTGAGTCCTCTTTGGAGACTTACTTTCATGATACAACAATCAAATCAATTTTTCCAGAACTTTAAATATTACTCCACAAAAACATCTCAATTAGAATTTATAGATTTCTGTGTATTTTCCAAAGAAAACAAGAGATATACACACACACACACAAATGATAACTTCCACCAAAAAGTTGGATTTTCAACAAAAATAAATAAAATTAAAAAAGAATTAAAATAAATAATAATAATAATTTATTTGAATCGAAGAAACCCTAAACTCAATGTTCAATCATAGACTTTTAAACATTCGCATGGATTGTCATTCGAATCACTGACCTCCCACATAAATTTCACAATATTTACAACTCAGTCAACTATCTCAATTTAATTAATTATTTCAAATAGTTTATGTGACATATATCTAACACTAGGTTGGTTCGAGCTTCAGATCCTAAGTCATCAGACGACGTGTCTTACTTCTCTCGATTTTTTGCTAACTGAATAATCACTCTCATGTCACCTACTTTAAGTAACATGTTATTCTTAATAATTGTTACTTGCGTGTATATATGTTAATTTTGGTGGAGATGCTTGCTTATTTTTTATTTTTATGGTTTCTCAATAGTTTTTAAAGTGTTATATTCCTAATTGGTGACTCACTTTTTCCTATAGTAAAATTTGTTTTCTTGAAACATAAAAGGGAGATTCTTGGGGGACAAGGGCCTGGACGTCAAGGGCCTTGTCCGTTTGGTTTAACCCAACATAAAATATCTAATACAGGAAAATACATTACTAACAAATCGTTTCTGGCATGCTGAAAAGTATTTTACTTTCAAGATTCCCAACTCATGCTGTGCATGTATGGATAAGCTTAAAAATGCTTTTATAAGTAAATAAGTAATTTTTAAATTTATGATTTATGATTTTATATTTTGTAAGTTTAAGTTAATAAGCAAGTTACTTATTTTAAATGTATCTCCTACTTTGTTATCAAAGCAACTTCCTTTTAACTATAAGAAAGAAATAGCACATCTAAACACATTTTTGAGCAAAATTCTTTTAAAGTAATTTTAACATATTTTTAAACTTAGCTTAGTGGACAACTATCAACCATAGAAAACTCAAAATGCTAGGGGAAAAAAATGAAGAAGAATTCTAATCGTTAATCATTGAAATGGAATATGAAAGTATTTAATTTTAAGCATGTTCTCCGCTAATATATAAGTGATTTTTTTGTTTGAGAGCATGTTTAGTAACATGAATTAGACAATCACCATAATTGTGTTACTAATTGTACGAATGGTAATCTTTTCTCCAATGCCACGTGTTACATGCTAAAATAATTGCCCATCAAGATTTCACAACAACCATAGAAGGATCATACTGCATGTCCATATGTCTCTTATTATTCGTACCTCAGCTATTCATGCTCGACTGAAGCGGAAGATGCCTCGATCGTCCAAGCACCATATAGCAACAAAATATGCAAAACCATAACACTTGGCTAAAAACACAATTTAAGACATCGGCCACCAAAAGGTTCAAAGGCATCAGAACAAGCCTCGAATATGAGCGGAAATGTTAGGACGAATTCTGACACAGTCAACCAAAATTTCACTGCAATAATCTCAAGCGTGCACAATGAATTGCTTGACAAATGTCACAAAAGGACGAACCTTAAACAAAATCTTAAAAATTGGACTTAATCATGACTTTCAGCACAATGATGATGAGTTGCATTTAAGTTTGATTTGAGCAAACTATCAACTTTCTACTTAATTTGTACTATGGAGCAAGAGTAGTGTAGAAGGGAAAATGTCATCATGCAAACAACCACAAAGATTAAACTTACCCAATGTTTATTAATTAATAATTGCAAGTAGCAGTTAGTTCCGTTGGACTTAAACTAACAAAAAGAAGAAAGGAAGTTGAGAATAATGATACTTTAGCACTAAGATTAATGATATCAATTGTAATTAGAAACATTAGTGATTAGTGAGACGAAGAAAATTAAGAAGGCAGTGATTGTACCTATGGCACAATCCACACAAATGGTCATCCTTATCTGAAGCACATCATGGACTTATTGTCTAGCTTTAACGAGTTAGATATCCTGTTAAGTCCCTCGTGCAGAGAACAAGAACTCTGATGCTCTGTCCAAATTGGATAATAACAAGGATTTTGAGCTGCTGAGGATGATTCCAACTGATTATCTAAAAAGCCGTCCATAATGAAGGTGATGGTAATAAGCCAACAATCCAAATGGAGGAAAGATCTCTTGGATTATTTAGTAGACTATAGGCTCCCATTCAACATAGATAAATACAAGAAGCTAAGGCTTAAGGCACCTCAATTCACAGTAAGGAATGAGGTCCTATTCAAAAGAAGTTTCTCCATCTGCTTGCTACATCGTGTTTGAAAAAAGGAGGTAGAACGCCTACTCAAAAAGGGTCATGAGGCCATGTGGGAACCATAAATGTGGGTTGTCGATGTCCAAGAAAAAATCTTTAGGCAAGGACACAGTTGACCGACCCTGAAAAAAGAGTCCTTAAATTATATCAGAAATGCCAGAGGTTTTCCAATGTACCTCAGTTGCACCCTCAGAAGTTGACCACAATGAGCAGTCCTTGGCCTTTTTCTAAGTGGGGCATAAATTTGTGGGTCCACTTCGAGCCCAATTTGGGATAGTGGCCATCGTTTACTTCACTAAATGGGTTGAAGCCAAATCGATGACTCTGATCACCGA